GTAATTTGTATTTTAATAGAGATGGGGTTGTCACCATGTTTGGCCAGGCTGTCTTGGACTCCTAGCCTCAGGTGATTCTGCCCACCTCAGCCCTTCCCAAGTCTGGTTACGGCGTGAACGCCAGCTTGACCGGGCCTTTGTTCTTTTTGTTTGTAATGTCTCATAAACAACATGTAAAAACGGAATGAAACAAAACAAAATGTTTTTAATCATGCTATTTGATTTATTATTTTACCGCTTTTCAAAGTTGATTTTAGACTGGACAGTGAAATTGTATGGTATTCACAATACACATGATGTTTTTGATGATAATGATACAGTGGAATGCCAAATCTGAGCGTCTCAACATACAGCCCTCCACGCTTTCGGTGGTCCCTGTGAGAGAACCTTAAACTGACTCTCTGGGAACTGTCAAGGTCTACTTGGCGTAATCTCTGTCTTCGGTGTCCTCCGCCGTCCCGGGAAGCAGACGAGCCACAACCCAGAATCAGCTGGGTGGGCAGCTGCTGGAGCTCTCCTTGGCTGAGGAAGAGTGGTGGGGCCGCCGGACCATCCTTCCGGCCCTTGTCCGGTGGCTGCTCGGGCGTTGGAGCTCGGGGCGGGGGGGCGGCGTGTTGGAGTCTCCCTGGGGAGCTGGGGCAGGAATATCCGGAGGCTGCCCTCTCCCTCTCCCCGCCTGCCTCCCACCCCAAGCCCCGGCCCCATCGCCCCTGGTTGTGCCAATTGGGAAGTTTCCTTCTTGGGACTGTCGCCTCTCCAGGCTCTGTGTGTTCCATCCACTGCCAGAGAAGGACCTGCGATCACAATAAAAGATGGGCACAGCGTGGCTTATGGCTGCCACCAAGAGTGAGGAGTCGGACACTGTGGGGGGGGCAGCTCCTTCATCCTTCCAGACTCCCAGGCATTGGGGTGGCTGGGAATGGGCACTAAAGGTCGCTATGAGCTGGCCAAGACAGGGCGGGCCGTGCTAGTTGGGCACCTGCAGCGTGAGACTCATGGCTGCACACTCCTGTGACTGCTGTGTGGGCCCCAAACACAGGACAGAAACCCCCCCAGGGGCCTGAACCCTGGCAAGGCTCAGCCGGGGCTAGACAGGCAGAGGCACGGCCGTGGTGTGGGGTGCTGGCTCAGCCCAGTGAATCCATTCCTTTCCATCATATTGGTGACAGCATCCACACCAGGCCACGGGCCATGAGCCCTCTGAGGCTGGGCCAACAGCCCTGTGGGACTAAGGAGTCAGGGCTGCCCCAGCGGCCTGGAGTCACTCAGTGGGCTGCAGCCTGGCTTTGTGGCCCCGTCTCTGTTCAGCCCTCTGGGTCTGTGTGTCGCCCGAGCCTCTCGCCGCTCCTTGAGTATGCCGTGGTCCTGGCCTCTGAGCCTCTGTGGGTGTGGCTTTCTCTTGTGGCTTCCTCCCTCCTTCCAAGTCTAGGCAGATGTGCCCTCTTTCCCGAACCCATCCCCTACACCCCGTCAGAGGGACTTCCTCCCGCCTTGGGGGTCTCAGCCCATTTTGTCCTGATGCCCCGCCTGGTGGGTCATGGTTCCTGCCTGAGCCTGTGTCCCTGTGGCCCACACGAGTTCCTCGAGGGTGGACACGGCCTTCTCCAGTTCTGAATCCCTCATCGTCCACCTGCGTCCCTGCCACGGCCTCTCCCATGAGCTCTCACGGGGTGCTGGGTTAAATGGGGTTGAACACAGACCACCTAAGGGGCCGAAGCCACTGCTTCTGTGTGTTTGGGGCGGAATTGGGATGGGTTCGGGCTTCCTAAGTAGTGGCTGTGACTCTACTGGGTGACCTGGCTCCTGCTGCCTCTCATAGCAGAGTGGGGGGCCCTTCTTCCTTGCTGGGCACAGGGCACACCTCTGGGTGGGAGACACGTTCCTTTTTCACCAGCTCCCACCTGCCTGCTGAGAAAAGCTATGAACATGGAAGCACTGACATTTGGTAGCAGCCTCCTCCCCTGGTGTGTGAGCCGCCAGAGGCAAGCCGGGAGGGCGCGGGGCTGGGTTGGGAGACGGTGAGTGAGCAAGTGGCGGGAGGCTGTTCTCAACCCCAGGTCGGGCTTTACCGGTGGAGTTTCAGGCACAGTCACGAGATTTCATTTTATTTTATTTTATTTTTTTTTTGAGACGGAGTCTCACTCTGTCGCCCAGGCTGGAGTGCAGTGGCACAATCTCGGCTCACTGCAAGCTCCGCCTCCCGGGTTCACACCATTCTCCTGCCTCAGCCTCCCCAGTAGCTGGGACTACAGGCGCCCGCCACCTCGCCCGGCTAGTTTTTTGTATTTTTTTAGTAGAGACGGGGTTTCACCATGTTAGCCAGGATGGTCTCAATCTCCTGACCTCGTGATCCACCCGTCTCGGCCTCCCAAAGTGCTGGGATTACAGGCTTGAGCCACCGCGCCTGGCTAGTCATGAGATTTCAAATTGTGAGTGGGAACTTCAGGACCCCCTGACTTCAACAGCAGAACTGGTCTCCCGCTTCACGCACACCTGCAAGTCTGGTCTGCCCCTGACCGGCCACGGGTCCTGCTCTCCCATGGCCTGGAAGCCTCACCCGCCTCCTGCCTCCTCCCCAGGCCAGGCAGGTTGTGATGATGAGGAATTGAGAGGCTCACAGCTGGGGATTTCCCTGCCCATCACGCGCCAGCTCCGGCCTCATCAGCAGAGACTTCCTGCTCTGTCCCAGCCGTGTCTTGTCCGCATCTCGCCCCGAGGAGCAGGTGTGCAGTTCCTGAGTGACGCGAGGCACACAGGGCCGTCCTGACCTCGCTCCACCCGCTTCACAGCAGCAGCCTGGGCCAGGCGAGAGGGCAGCGATTCCTCCCGCGATGACCTGGACTTGGAGAAAGGCAGCCCGGGCAGTCGCTGGGAGAATACATGGAGATGACAAAAGCAATCACAGCTAAGAGCTGACATTGTTTATTGAGTGCTTGCCGTGCCCTGGGCCTTGTACTGGCCCTTTCTACTGGCACTTGTTGAAGCCTCACGATAACCTTTCAAAGTGGGTTTATGAAGCACGTTTCACAGATGAGGAGACTGAGGCTCGGAGAAATGACCTGCTAGGCTCATTCAGCCGGGAAGGGGTGAGGCTGACACTAAGGGCCATGATACGTGACTGTTGGTGGAAAGTATTAAATGGGGAATTCTGTCCCCGAGAGACCTGATCCCAGGAACCGACTTTTGAGAAGAAGTGCCAAGTCTTGGGGCTGGCAGCGCTGAGGTCAACCAGGCCAGGCCCGGGCTGTGGTGTTCCCTCCCGGGGGACTGAGCAGAGCACTTGACCCTTCACTAAGCCCTCCCGCCTCTGTGATCTCTTTGGCTCTTCACGGCAGCCTTGGAAAGTAGGTGCTAAGATTCCCGTTTCCTAGTTGGGAAAACTGAGGCCTGAGATGGGAAGTCCCTGCCCAGCAGGGAATGCCAGAGAGGGAGGAGTTGGACCCATAACTTCGACCTTGGCACCTGCAGCCTCCCCTGCCCTTTCCCCGGTGGGGGTGAGGCTGCTGTGTGGGTGTGGGGGTGACTCACACGGGCCACGTGGGCGGGCAATGCAGCTGTGGCCGGTGGGCGTGGCCTGCCTGGTGCCGAGGGCAGGTGGCCCAGCCAGTTCTGCCTCTGATGCCTCATTCCAGCCATCCCTCTGCCTGCAATGAGAGCTTTCCACCGCCTCAGCCACAGTCCCACCCAGGGGCCTTGGGCCCCAGACATGCGGTGATCTCAGAGCAAGGGTTGCCACGACCACCCAGAACCTCACGAGGTGAGTCTTCCCTGCACAAGGCAGCTGGTCATCTCCAAGGTCCCTGGGGAGCCCGGAGCGTGGCCCTCAGAGGTCCTCTGGGCCATGTCTGCCCTTGGCCAATAGGCCTTGGGAGGAGGGCTGGAAGGAGCTTGGGCCAGTGAGGAAAGCAAGGCCGTGCACTCTTGGCTGTAGGGACATGTGAGAATACAGGTCCTTACAGACTCAGGAACATTTCCCTGAGGTTTGGGAACCCTGGGGAGGGACATCTCAATCTCACCACGGCTGAGGGGCAGAGGAGAGGCTCCTGCCTCCCCAGGCTGGCCCAGGGAGGTGGCTTTCTGGGGCAGGAGTGTGATGGGAGTTCAGGATGGGAGGCGGTGGCCCCACCGTGAGAGAGATGGGGCCCAGGCATCTCACAGGTGCTGAGTCAGCAGCTGTGGCTCCGCGGCCTGGTCTGTTGCCCAGGAAAGACCATTTCAATCAGTGTCAGGGATTGGGAGAGAGAGGGAGGGCCAGGGCAACAAGAGAGTCCAGCAGGTGAGAACGTGGGGTTTATGGGGTGACTCAGGGAGCTAATGATAGCTGCTGCGGCCCTAGTCTGGAGCTCCCTGAGCCTCTCCTGCCCCAGAGGCCCCCGGCAGGCCACATTCTCAGGCCCAGGGAAGGCAGAGAGCAACCAGCTCTCAGGGCCACAGAGTCCTTGGGGACCACTCAGCCCACTTCTCAGAAAGGAAAACAGAGGCCCTGGGAGGGGTGAGACGCGTCCTTCATCTGTCTCCTTTGTGCTCGGTGCCTCCCAGCCTTTTAGTTCACCAAAGGCCACATGTGGATGGGGAAAGCCACAAAGGCTGCCCGTCCTCATCAGGCCGTGACTGGACATGGGAAGGCCGGGAGCCCAGCAGTCCCTCTCGGTGGGCTGCTCCACCTGCCTGGCCTCAAGGTGCCTGCGCTCTGGGGCCAAAGCTCTCCCTCGCTGATGCCTCCCCGATCCTGAGCCTGCTCCGTTTGAATTGGAGGGCGGGGGACTCTCTCCAGCCTGATGACATCTGGTTCCGGAAACTTCCTCCAGGAAGCTTTCCCATTGGGGTGGGACCACCAGTGGCCCCAGCTCCACCCCACCCAGCTGGGTTCTTCTTACAGGAATCCATCTTCCTGCCCCCACCTATGTGTCTCTGGGTGAGTCCCCTGAGGGTGACTCAAGCTGAGAGTGGCACCCCCTGACTGCACAGTCACCACCTGTCCACACAACCCTTTCCCAGCCCAAGTCCTCCCTCTGTGACCAGCTGGCCCCCTTCCCCGTCCCTGTGGCCCCTGCAGCAGCCTCGTCCTGGCCCCTGGCTTCTGGTCTCCCCCACCCCGCAACGCAGCACCCAACTCCCAGCTGCCCCCGGGGATCAGCCGTAGCTCTTTATGTTTAATAAAAACTTTATGTATTTTTTATTCATTTTTTTGAGACGGAGTCTCGCTCTGTTGCCCAGGCTGGAGTGCAGTGGCACAATCTCGGCTCACTGCAACCTCCGCCTCCTGGGTTCAAGTGATTCTCCTGCCTCAGCCCAACCTCCGCCTCCTGGGTTCAAGTGATTCTCCTGCCTCAGCCTCCTGAGTATCTGGGCCTACAGGTGTGCACCACCACGCCCGGCTATTTTTTTGTGTTTTAGTAGAGACAGAGTTTCACCGTGTTGCCCAGGTTGGTCTTGAGCTCCTAAGCTCAGGCAATCTGCCCACCTTGGCCTCCCCAAGTGCTGGAGTTAGAGGTGTGAGCCACCGTGCCCGGCTAAAGCCACAGCTCTTACGCGGTGTGCAAGGACTTCACAGGGCCCAGCCTGCCCACACAGCTTTCGTTGCCAGGGTCCTCGTGAGCTCCCCAGGTTCTCTGGCCACAGCAGCTCCCGCCACTCCTACCACTCCTGACCCTCCCAGGCCGTGCCCTCTGCCCGGCTTGTCCTTCCTCCACACAGCAGCCTGTACAGTCCGTCCTGGTCTTGTTGGAAGATGTATCAGTCCCCCTTCCCCACTCCCCACACCCCTTGGGGCTCAGCACCGTGCCCAGCCCACTCTGAGCATCAGTAAAGCGGGTCTGGACAGGGGTTCGGCCTCCTCCGCCTGGGGTAAGGGGACTCAGCTGCCCCCTGCAGGTGGGAGGGGAGTCTAATGGACGGCAGCCATAAGCTGGTTACACGCAGCTTTGGGAGGGCGGGGGAGATGATGGGTGTGTTGGCTGCCAAGACCACCTGGACACTGAGGAATCCAAAACACCCGAGGAGCGTGAGGCTGTGTAACTAGGAGCATAACGTCTAGAGCAAAGGAGGTGATAATCTTGCTCTGCGGAGGTCAGAACTGTTTGAGAGCTGCTCATCACGAAATCGGAGAGGGGCCTCGAGAAAACAGAGCTGGTGCCCAGGAGTCCGCCTGGGGACTGACCGGCTGAGATGGTGTCGTGAGAGAGGATCGGGGCATGGTGGTCTCTACTGGGACACCTTCCTGGGCTCTCCTAGGACCATAGCATCAGGGGTGCTAGAGCAGGGAGCTGGGGAACCTTTGGGGACAGCTTCTCTGTCCTTGAAGAAGGGTTGGTGACCTGGGAAGGGAGGAGTGAGCTTCCTGTCCCAGGGAGTGTGAACGGGAGCTGGATACAGCCACACAGCGATCCTAAACTCCCTGAAGCTCCCCCCGTCCCCTCGGCCTGAGCATCTGCCCTGTTGTTGTATTCCAGCCATGAATGCCCACCCCAAGGAGACGGTGCCTCTCATGGGCAAGAGAGTTGCCGCCCCCAGTGGGAACCCTGCTGTCCTGCCTGAGAAGAGGGCGGCGGAGATCACCCCCACAAAGAAGAGGTGGGTCCGGAGGGCTCGGGACTGGGACTGCGGCACTGTGAGGGGCAGGAGCGGGGGGACTGGCAACCCCCAGAGAGCCCTCGCCTTGGGGAGACCTGAAACTCTCAGTCTCGCCTGAGGTGGCCCGGTGCCCGGCGAGGTATGACTGGGGGATGGTGCTGGGGGGAGCACAGCACACTCAGGGGGCTGAGCTGCAGTGGTCAGTGTGACTGGCACAATTAGGGAAGCCTCCTTGGAGGGATCAGGGGGTGCTGAGGCAGGAGCAGTCAGGAGGGCTCCTGAGGGAGGTGAGGGATGGCTGGAGCCATCCTTGAGACGAGGAGCAGAATGCTGGGTGGAAGTTCCAGGTGACCTGGACCCTCTGCCGGGCACGTTTTCCACACACACTAACGGCTTTCCATCCACTGCGCAACCAGCCAGGTTATTCAAACTCTTGAACTCCACCTTTGGAATGGGGACACCGGCAGTGGCACCAACGATAGGATGACGGTTCATTGGGATCAAGTCAGCAAAGTGCTCAGTGTGGCGCCTGGCACGCGGTCAGAGCTCAGCACGTGCTGGCATTGAGAGTGTTCTGTGACCCTCACCATCATCATTGTCCCCATCACTCCACGGGGTCCCTGGGAACTGGGCCGGGCTGGAATGATGAGCTTTACTTCTTGGCTGGGGACATGGAGGAGGCCTGGAGCAGAGAAGGACCCCTCTAGGGTCGCCCGTCCCGCCCCTCTGCTGCCTCCATTGTAGATTCTACACCCCAGCTGATTCGGTGCCTCTCAAGCTGTCCCCCCAGCCCACTTCGTCTGTGCGTCCCTTGAACCTGGGGTGGCCCTGCCTCCTCTGCCTGTATCCCAGGCCCCCTTTCAGCCAGGGGTGAACTTGGTGCTTCCCCGCTGTTAGTTGGAGCTATAATCACTGAGGTGTCCTGTGTACCAGCTCCAGGGTTGGGCTCAGGATAACGAGCTTGGGACATGGAGAGAAAAATGGCCACGCCTGCTCACAGTCTGGTGAAAGGGGAGTCGAGGAGAGAGTGGGAAGCGACCAGAGAGAGGTGAACTAGCCCCGTGGGGCCTGAAGAGCGGCAGGTTATTCTGATCCTGTAGGCAGTCTCAGGGGACTTCCTGGAGGAGGTGGTGCTAGAGAAGATGTGGAGAGGAAGGAAAAGTACACCTCGGGCAGAGAGATATGGGAGCAGTGGCTCAGAGTGGGGGCACTGAGGTGAGGAGTCTGGTGTAGCTGAGACGCTGGGCGGTAGAGGAGTCTTTGGGGAGATGAGTCCCTTTGACTTCCTTGGCGGTCAGTCAAGGAAATTGGACAATCCTGAGGGCCATGGGGAGCCATGGAGGGATTTTTTGTGGGAGGGAGGGCATGGTGAGATGTGCCTTTTGGAGAGGTGACTCTGGGGGATCTGCATGGATGATGGATTGGAGGAGAGGCTGACGGCAGGGAGACCATGAGGAGGCCTTTGGGAAGCCCAGGTGATAGGTGGTGATGTGTGAACCTGGGTGGTCAGGGATAAAGAGGAGGGGACAGCACAGAGGGGTGTCAGTATCATAGGATCTGCAGGACCAGGCATGGGAGTAAGGGAGAAGGAGGAATCCCGGTGGGAGGGACTGGAGGGATGGTGGGGCCGTCTCTGACATGGTGCACCACAGGAGAAGATCCAGGTCAGGAGGAATGAGCCAAATTCAGTTGTGAAATGTTGGGTAAGAGGTGCCTGAGGGACACCCAGGTGGAGGCCCCATCTTGGAATGCAAGAGGGAAAACTGGTGGAAGTGGAGCCAGACAGGTGTCGTGTGGGGCCAAGGGGGCAGCCTGGGTCTGGGTGGACTTGTCCAGGGAAGGGCCGAGACATCCCTGAGCTAAGCGGGCAAGGACCACCTCCCTGGCTCTCCTCCCACTTCCCCTCCGTTCTCACTTTTCCAGGGGAGGTTTGGACCTCGGGAAAAAATTGAGGACAGAGTTTTGGGAGAATCCCAGGTTCTTTCCTCAGCAGGACCCGTCAAGCCATCTGCTCTGAGCCCATCCCCCCATTCATAGACTTAGCTCCAGGCTTAGTTCGGCAAAGCCTCCTCAGACCAGCCAAGCGCTGAGCTTGATGTGTCTCCTGAATTGGTGTCCACTCCTCTGCCCCAAAGGCTCTCTGAGGACCCTCATGTGAAGGTTTGGGCATCCCCCTCAGAACTGAGTAGGGGACTTGGGCCTAGAGAGAAACAGAAAATATAAGAATAGGTCGGGCGCGGTGGCTCAAGCCTGTCATCCCAGCACTTTGGGAGGCCGAGGCAGGTGGATCATTTGAGGTCAGGAGTTCGAGACCGGCCTGGCCAACATGGTAAAACCCCGTCTCTACTAAAAACACAAAAATTAGCCAGGTGTGGTGGTGGGCGCCTGTAGTACCAACTACTCGGGAGGCTGAGGCAGGAGAATCGCTTGAACCCAGGAGGTGGAGGTTGCAGTGAGCCAAGATTGTGCCACTGCACTCCAGCCTGGGCAACAGAGCAAAACTCTGTCTCCAAAAAAAAAAAAAAAAAAGGAAAGGCCAGGTACAGTGGCTCCGCCTGTAATCCCAGAACTTTGGGAGGTCAAGGTAGGTGGATCACAAGGTCAGGAGTTTGAGACTAGCCTGGCCAACATGGTGAAACCCTGTCTCTACTAAAAAAAACTACAAAAATTAGGTGGGTATGGTGGTAGGCACCTGTAATCCCAGCTACTTGGGAGGCTGAGGCAGGAGAATTGCTTGAACTTGGGAGGTGGAGGTTGCAGTGAGCTGAGATTGTGCCACTGCACTCTAGCCTGGGTGACAGAGCAAGATTCTGTCTAAAAAAAAAAAAAAAGGGAAAAATATATATAAATTATAGGTGAAGAAAGAGGGCAATGCTGCCCCTAAGGAAACAGGTGCTAATGGTGGAATCAAAAGCACCAGGGAGTCTGGAGATGGGAAAGACTTTTGGACCTGGGAGTGTTCCTGAACTATCATGCCATTCCCTGACAGTAGCTGTCATCTTTGCTTCCTTCCTGGATCCTGGAAAACTGATGCCCAGGGTCAGAGATGCAGACTGATGGAGGTTGTGGAGCCACTGGCCTTGCAGAGCCCAGAGCCGTTGGGCATTTCTTGGCACAAAGCAAATGAATGAGCAGTCTCCTTCCCAGCCCTGGACTGTTCAGGGATAGTTCTTTGACTTCAAAGGAACAGAAATGCAGTAGAAATGGTATAGAATTGTCTGCTCACCTAGGTCAACCACACCCAGCTGGTGCCCTTTGGTCTGGAGAGAAGGCAGGACGAAACAAACATCGCCTAGAGCAGGTCAGCAGCCAGGGTGTCACAGGGCTAAGGCCTTGCCACGTGCTTATGACGCTGGGTGGGATGTGGTGTGTAAAGTGACCAGTAGGGCAGGTACAGGACAGACCCTCACAGTCTAGCAGCTGCTTTGCCCCAGGAGTTAGGTCTTTGCCCAACAGTTGGGGTCCTTCCCAGCCCTGCGCTTATCACTGTCTTCTCATGTTGGTGCTCCAGCTGACAAGGGCTTCCTTCTCCAGACATAGACCTCCCCTTCTCCTGAGGCTTTCTCATGCTGTTCTGCCTTGGGGGCTTTTCCCAAACCAGAGGATGGTGTCAAGACCCAGACCACATCCCACCCCAAAAGAGCACAGAGCCCTCCCTGATCCCTGTCTTCAACTGGAAGGATCTTCTCTTCCTCTGAGCTCCCGTAGCCCAACCTCTCTCTGAAGAGGTTCACGTGGTCATTGGGATGATGTGTTAGCTCTGGTTGAGATCTCTGATCGTGAGGTCCCTGGAAGGTTCATCTCTTCCCTTCTGTCTCCCTGAGTTTCTTACACAGAGGACATTAGTAGCTTTTGAGTAAGTAGATGAGTCAATAAAAGGGCAGGCAGGAGGCCAGGTGCGGTGGCTCACGCCTGTAATCCCAGCACTTTGGGAGGCCAAGGCAGGTGGATCATGAGATTAGGAGATCAAGACCATCCTGGCTAACACGGTGAAACCCCATCTCTACTAAAAATACAAAAAACTAGCTGGGTGTGGTGGCGGGCTCCTGTAGTCCCAGCTACTTGGGAGGCTGAGGCAGGAGAATGGCGTGAACCTGGGAGGTGGAGCTTGCAGTGAGCCGAGATCGCGCCACTGCACTCTAGCCTGGGTGACAGAGCGAGACTCCGTCTCAAAAAAAAAAAAAAAAAAAGAAAAAAAGAGCAGGCAAGAAAATGATGAGCTGGTGAGCAAGCAGCTGGGTGGCCCAGCATGGCCCTTGGCATACATGAGGACACTATGGAGCGATGAGGAAATGCTTCTTCCTTTCCCTCGGGTTCTCAGCCTCAGGTCTGGAGTGGATACATATTCTTGTGATACGGCTTTCTGGACCATCTTTGGGTCCCTGTGGACTCTGAGAGAAGGCCTTGAGTAGGTAGGGAGGTAGGGCAGAGACAAAGGACTGCTCCTCATCTTCTTGTGAGAGAGTGGGAAGGGGATGAGGCTTAGGAGAGGTAAAGGCTTTAAGCAGCTGAGAGCACAGTGGAAGTCACCTGAAGGATGCAACCTCCCAACATTTTGGTTTAAGGTTATGTAGGTTTACTTGCTTATTGGTCCTGTCCACCTATCCTCCCCTCCCAATTACTTATTATCCATCCATCCATCTATCATTTATTCACCCATCCATCATCTATTCATCCATCCATCCATCCATCCATCATCCATCCACTCATCTACCCGTCATCCATCCATCATCCATCCATCCATATATCATCTGTACATCCATCCATCATCCATCCACTCATCTACCCATCCCATCATCCATCCATCCATCCATCATCCATTCACTCATCTACCCATCCCATCATCCATCCATCCATCCATCCATCATCCATCCATCCATCCATCATCCATCCACTCATCTACCCATCCCATCATCCATCCATCCATCCGTCCATCCATCCATCCATCTGTCATTTATTCACCCATCAATCATCTATTCATCCATCCATCAATCATTTATTCATCCATCCATCCATCATCCATCCACTCATCTACCCATCCCATCATCCATCCATCCATCCATCCATCATCCATTCACTCATCTACCCATCCCATCATCCATCCATCCATCCATCCATCCATCATCCATCCATCCATCCATCATCCATCCACTCATCTACCCATCCCATCATCCACCCATACATCCATCATCCATCCATCCATCCATCTGTCATTTATTCACCCATCAATCATCTATTCATCCATCCATCAATCATTTATTCATCCATCCATCATCCATTCACTCATCTACCCATCATCTATCCATTTTCCATCCACCCATCCATATATCCATCCATCCATCATCCATCCACTCATCTACCCATTCCATCATCTATCCATCCATCCATCCATCCATCCATCCATCCATCCATCCATCATCTATCCGTCATCCACCCATCCCTCATTCTATCATCTCTCCATTATTCATTCATCCATTTATCTGGACCAACCATACTTCCTTCCACTCATTTGTCTTTCACTCATTATCTATCCTCTCACTCATTCACCTATGAAGACTTCTGAGCATTAGGACCAGTGTTGGGAATCAAGGATAATTCAACTGTAGTCTCTGCCATTGAGGAATGTACAGCTGTAGGATGGTGTGTTGTCCAGAGTGTGGAAAATCATGGCCTCACTGTACTATTTCTTGGTCAGTTCTGACCAACTCACTGAAACAACAGCTCTGGAAGGGACGGAAATTTTGTCCACTGTTCACTACTGTATCCCCAGCTGCAGAAACAGTGCCTGGCACACTGTAGATGCTCAATAAATATTTGTGGAGTAAATGCACCACTGAGGAATGCAGACAGGTAGGGTGATGGGGAGCAGGGGAGGGAGTGGACCGACAGTCTTGGGGAAAAAGCTGTGGGTATAGGGCTTGGAGCTCTGTCTGGAGATAATTTGGCAAATCTCAACCAGGACGTTTTGGGACTGAACCACCAGCAAATGTGTTTGGAGTTTCTGGGTCAGGCTGCTGTTGCAGAGTGACTACTGTAGGGTGAAAGTTCTGGGGCGCTGCAGGGCTGTAGGGAAGTGGTAATCAGACTGATTGACCTCCGATGTCCACTTCAGCTGGACATTCCGTAAGAGGACGACCCCAGAACTGCCCTGGCTCCAGGTTCCAGGCCTTAGCAATCATCTGGCCCAACCATCATCCATTCAGGTGAAGATGACTGGCCCAGAGAGGGCGTGACCATCTGGGGTCACACAGGAGGGAGAGGCAGAGCTGGACTAGAACCCAGGCTTTAGTTCCCAGGCAAGGGTTTAACTCCTCTCTTTGTCTTCCCTTTTGGAAGAAGAGTTTGACTGGTAGCTCAGGTCAGAAGGTTTCTTTTGGTGGGCAGGAGACTGGCAGGTGAGGCAGGTGAGACTGGCAGCCGGTACTGCCCCCCGCCCCACGTAGCCCCATCTCTGGATTAGCACTGAACCTTTCGGGCTTGTCTGTGGCTGGAAGAAAGGGCAGGGATTCCTCGGGCAAGCCCGGGGTCTCTCCTGCTTGCCCCACCCTAGGAAGTGGCTGTGCCAAGCAGCCTCCCTTTGGGGCCAAGCCCTAGAGCTAGTTTAGCTGGAAGGCGGCTCAGATTGCTAAGGCGAGAGCAAAGAAGCACAGATTGTGGTATGGACTGTGAGCCTGGACATAGGGAAGCAGGTTCTTTGACCAACTTGGCTTTTACCCTGGGGGGTGACCATGGATGAGCTGCTTCTCCATACTGAGCCTCAGTTCTCTCGTCTGCAGAATGGGGCCACAGTCCCTTCCCTGCTACCCTCCCTCCTGAATCTGACACGGCTGAGACTGCCCTTTGGGAGCTCTTCTGTAGTCTTGTGAGGAAGGAAGGGCCATGCTGGTACTTCCAGACCTGAGAACGAAGGAGGCAGCAAAGGTGCTTAGGAGCCCTGGGTGCCTGGAGAGGCCCTGCTGGTCAGGAGGCCACAGTCCCTGGCCAGGACACAGAGGCTGCCGTTGTCCTGTAGCAGCTGCAGGGCAGGAGGGTTGCTGCCACCGAGATCGCCCTCAGCCTGATCCTCACAGTCCGGGTTGTCGTCAGCCGGAAGGCTCTTCTCTGTGCGTGTGATTGTGTTTCCAAGGACATGGGTGCCTGAGTTTGTGGGTGTGTCTGAAGGTGGAACTGGGCTGTGTCTGGCTGGGAGTCATATCTTGGGTGTATATCTTGCTTCTCATAGGCCAGTGTCTCTCCTTGTCTGGGGCTCAGCCAGGCCACAGGGCCCTGGGCCTCTGTCTGTCTTCTCCCAGCCCAAGGAGAAAACTGCCTTTGCCCTGTGCCTCCCCTCCACTGCTCCCCTCACTGCTCCCCCTTACTGCTCCCCTTACTGCTCCCCCTCACTGCTCCCCTCCACTGCTCCCCCTCACTGCTCCCCCTCACTGCTCCCCCTCACTGCTCCCCCTCACTGCTCCCCTCACTGCTCCCCTCCACTGCTCCCCTCCACTGCCTGAGATGGTTTCCTGGCTTTTCCTTCTCCACAGAGAATTCCCAGCTCTGTCCTCTAACCCCTCAAGTCCTTCCTGCTCTAGATCAGCCCTTTTTTTTTTTTTTCTAGAGGAGTCTCCCTCTGTCGCCCAGGCTGGAGTGCAATGGCACGATCTTGGCTCACTGCAACCTCCACCTCCTGGGTTCAAGAGATTCTTCTGCCTCAGCCTCCCATGTCGATGGGATTACAGGTGCCTGCCACCACGCCTGGCTACTTTTTGCATTTTTAGTAGAAATGGGGTTTCACCACATTGGCCAGGCTGGTCTCGAGCTCCGGACCTCAAGTGATCCTCCAGCCGCCACCTCTCGAAGTGCTGGGATTACAGACTTAAGCCGCCGCACCCAGCCTAGATCAGCCTCTGCTGTGACAAACAGCACAAGTGCTGATCAACGGGGGCAAGTATAACTCTGGCCATCTCCCTCTCCCTCAAGAGCCAGGAAGGCCCACATAGATCTGAGTCTAGGGACTGCCCCTCAGAAGGGGTCTGACTTCAGACCTGAGGCCTGGGGGCGGGTAGGTGGTGACGGGAAAACCCAGCGCCCAGCACCATCTTCCCCATCCTTGAGGTGTCCTTTGTACCTGGAGGTGGCTGCAGACAGGGCAACCTGGCTCAAGTGTTAGACTCCCCTCTGTAGAGACTCAGGTTCATCCACCCAGTATTTCTAGCAAGAAGAGTCACCCAGACTCAGTTTTGTTTTGTTTTGTTTTGTTTTGTTTTTGAGAAGGAGTCCTGCTCTGTCACCCAGGCAGTAGCACAATCTTGGCTCACTGCAACCTCTGCCTCCTGGGTTCAAGCAATTCTCCTGCCTCAGCCTCCTGAGTAGCTGGGATTACAGACGCACGCCACCACACTCAGCTAATTTTTGTATGTTTAGTAGACCCAGGGTTTCGCCAGGTTGGCTGGTCTCAAACTCCTGACCTCAACTGATCTGCCCACTTTGACCTCCCAAAGTGCTGGGATTACAGGGATGAGCCACCGCACCCGGCCTAGCCCAGCTTTGAATCTGGACTTTGCTACCTATCTGCTGTGTGACCTTGGGCAAGTTGCTTTATCTACAGATAGAAGCCACATGTCTCCATGGGAGGCCTTCCTCGCCTTGACATTGTAAATTAGCAGCTAATTGACACTACAGGACAAGAGGAGACTAGAAATTGTCCTCCCTCACCCGCCCCCACCGAGACAAATGCATGTCTGGATGCTTCCCCATGCATCTGTTTGTTTTTGTTTTTGTTTTTGTTTTTTTATGAGATGGAGTCCTGCTCTGTCACACAGGCTGGAGTGCAGTGGCATGATCTCAGCTCACAGCAACCTATGCCTCCCGGGTGCAAGCGATTCTCCTGTCTCAGCCTCCAGCGTAGCTGGGATTACAGGTGTGTGCCGCCATACCTGGCTACTATTTTTTTTTTTTTTTTTTGCATTTTAAGTAGAAACGGGGTTTCACCATGTTGGCCAGGGCTGGTCTCCAACTCCTGACCAGAGGTGATCTGCCCGCCTCAGCCTCCCAAGGTGCTGGGATTATAGCCCCTGCACCCGGCCTGCTCCCTCTTTTTTTTTTTTTTTTTTCTTTCCTCCTTCCTCTCCTGCCCACTTTTCGCCTTTAAATATTGAGGCCCTCAAAATCCTGTTCAGAGGAGAAAGCGTGGGCCACAGATCCTGCTGGGGCTTGTGTGTCTTTTTCCTGGGTGTGTCCTCAACCTTGGCAAAATAAACCTCTACATCAACCAGGCTCGCCTCAGTCCTTTTCTTCGGTTGTTCACACTTGACTGGCAGCTCCCTGGAGACCATCTGTGAAATGTAGGTGACAATGACAGTGACCATCTCCGAGGGCTCCCAGGAGAGCTGGGCAAGGCCATTTGGGCTCAGAGCTGGCCAGGGTGTGTGCTCAGCATGGGGGCACCCTCTGTGGCCGGGAGGCAGGACACAGGCAGACAGGCTCTGCCTGGCTCGGCCCTGACGAACTTCCTCCATGTTCCCTCAGTGCACACTTCTTCCTGGAGATAGAAGGGTTTGAGCCCAACCCCGTGGCTGCCAAGACCTCTCCCCCCGTCTTCTCCAAGCCCATGGATTCCAACATCCGGCAGTGGTGAGTATGGGCCCCAGCCCAACCCCCTGCCCTGGGCCCAGCTCTCAGCTCCAGAATGTGGCCAGTGACTTGTCCTGGTAATGGGGCCAGGCCTGGCTGTGGCATGCTACCACTGTCTATTATAAAACTTTATTATTGCTGGGCGTGGTGGCTCACGCCTGTAATCCTAGCACTTTGGGAGGCCGAGGCGGGCAGATCACAAGGTCAGGAGATCGAGACCACGGTGAAACCCCGTCTCTACTAAAAATACAAAAAATTAGCCGGGCGCGGTAGCGGGCGCCTGTAGTCCCAGCTACTCAGGAGGCTGAGGCAGGAGAATGGCGTGAACCCGGGAGGCGGAGCTTGCAGTGAGCCGAGATCGCGCCACTGCACTCCAGCCTGGGGGACACAGCGAGACTCCGTCTCAAAAAACAAAAACAAAAACAAAAACAAAAACAAAACTTTATTATTATTTATTTATTTGAGACAGAGTGTTGCTCTGTTGCCCAGGCTGGAGTGCAGTGGCCCAATCTCAGCTCACTGCAGCCTCCACCTCCCGGGTTTAAGTGATTCTCCTGTCTCAGTCTCCCAAGTAGCTGGGATTACAGGCACATGCCACCACGCTTGGCTAGTTTTTGTATTTTTAGTAGAGACGATTTAGTAGAGACAGTTTAGTTTCACCATGTTGACCAGGCTGGTCTTGAACTTGCGACCTCAAGTAATCCACCTGCCTCGGCCTCCCAAAGTGCTGGGATTACATGCATGAGCCACCTCATCCGGCCCATTTTAAAACTTTAAAACCCTCTCTGTTCCCTCCGCCAACACCTCCAGCATCTCTGGCAACTGTGATGACATGGACTCCCCCCAGTCTCCTCAGGATGATGTGACAGAGACCCCATCCAATCCCAACAGCCCCGGGTAAGTCTGCCCCTCCCCCTCCTCCCACTGTGCCCACTCAGGCTGGGGGTGCCAGAGAGGCAGGATACCGGGCCCTGCAGGAAAGAGAAAGAATCCACCATTCCTGGGGATTGGGACAAGTGGAGTCATGGGTCCATGGCAGGTAGGACGTGCTGGGGGAAGGAGTGGAGTATTGCATTTTATAAAACCCATTCATTATGAAACATTCAAACAGCAGGACGCAGTGGAACAAGAACTGTAGCATGATACTGTTTTTGTGAACTAAAAATACATGGCCGGGTGCGGTGGCTCACACCTGTCATCCCAGCACTTTGGGAGGCTGAGGTGGGCAGATCATGAGGTCAGGAGTTCAAGACCAGTCTGACCAACATGGTGAAACCCCGTCTCTACTAAAAATACAAAAATTAGCCGGGCGTGGTGGTACACGCCTGTAATCCCAGCTACTCAGGAGGCTGAGGCAGGACAATTGCTTGCACCCTGGAGGTGGAGGTTGCAGTGAACTGAGATTGTGCCACTGTATTCCAGCCTGGGTGAGAGAGCAAGACTCTATCTCAAAAAAAAAAAAAAAAAGAAACAAAATACGTGTGCCCAATATCCATATGCATTTTGCAAGAACACGTGGAAACAAAAGGAGATCATCCTGGCTAACCCAGTGAAACCCTGTCTCTACTAAAAATACACCGGGCGTGGTGGCAGGTGCCTGTAGTCCCAGCTACTCAGGAGGCTGAGGCAGGAGAATGGCATGAACCCGGGAGGCAGAGCTTGCAGTGAGCCGAGATGGCGCCACTGCACTCCAGCCTGGGCGACAGAGCAAGACTCTGTCTCAAAAAAGAAAAGAAACAAAAGGAGACATCAACGGTTACCACGGTTACTTATCTGGAGTGGGAGGACAGGGAGGGATAGATTTAAAAAGTTCAAACAGCATAAAATATGAAATCTCATATTTTCAAGGTAATGTCTATTAATAGGCATAGATCCTTCCTGATCATTACTGCATGCAGCCAAATACAGGTATTTTGACAGAATGTGATTGCATGTGGATTACAAGGGGAGCCTGATGGGTCCACACAGCCCAGGGGTTTGCAGGCGTTGTGACAGGCATGGGAGATGTTGGCGGCAGGTGCAGCGCCCTGCAGGCAGCTCTGGCGGGGAAAAGGAGAGATTGAGCTTGAGAGGACGTGTGTGGTGAGTTGGAAACATTTTCTGGCTCAGTGCACACCTGGCCAAGGAAGAGCAGAGGAGGAAAAAGAGGCGGCTGAAGAAGCGCATCTTTGCAGCCGTGTCTGAGGGCTGCGTGGAGGAGCTGGTGGAGCTGCTGGTGGAGCTGCAGGAGCTTTGCAGGCGGCGCCGTGACGAGGATGTGCCTGGTGAGTGTCTGAGCCTGGCAGAGGGTACGGGGCTGGGGCCCCGCTTGACTTCTGGTGCCCATCTTCCCCTCCCCTCACCAACCCGTGGGGCTGGAGTGCGAGGGGCCTTGAATTCTGGCGAGGGACTTTGAACTTGACTCCAAGGAGAATGGGGAACCACAGAAAGGTTTGGGCAGGTGAGAGTCGGACGAGAGTTGGGGGGTGAAGCTGGAGAAGGCCACTGTTCAGGCAGGGCGGGGACCCTGAAGCAGGGCTTGAGAAGGGGAACGGTTCTGGGCAGCTCCTCAGCCAGTAGCACGGGTAGGACTTGAGGACCTGGGGAGTAAGGGACAGGGGGTCCAGCATGGTGCCATGTAGACTTGGGTAGCCTGGTGGCTGGTGGAGCCCTGGGTGTCTCGGGGACCAGTGCAGTATCAGGTTGATGGGGAGGCCATGAGCTGAGCTTTATTTGCAGGCCTGAGGAGGGGGCAGGCTGGAGACAGAGGTTCTGGGGTGGACAGTGGGAAGCCACACCGTGGGAAAAGAGTAAAAGGCCTCAGATAAGGCTCCCATGGGCCACAGAGAGCAAGGAGCCAGCAAAGGAGACGGAGGAGGAACAGCTGGAGAGGGAGGAGGAGAGCGGCCAAGTGTGAGACCTGGGAGCAGGGGTGTAGAGCAGGGACTTGAGGTCTGCGGCTGCAGCTCCCACACCCTCTGAGCTGGGCGGGCCAAGGGCAGCCGGGCCCCGCCTGTAGCTCCGTCCCACGGCCCTGCCTGCAGACTTCCTCATGCACAAGCTGACGGCCTCCGACACGGGGAAGACCTGCCTGATGAAGGCCTTGTTAAACATCAACCCCAACACCAAGGAGATCGTGCGGGTCCTGCTTGCCTTTGCCGAAGAGAACGACATCCTGGGCAGGTTCATCAATGCCGAGTACACAGAAGAGGCCTACGAAGGTATCCTGCCCACAGAGGGGCTGTGCAGACAGGAGTCTCTGAGGGTGCGAGGGTGCGGGGCTGCGGGGCCACAGGGCCACAGGGCCGCTGCTGGCCAGGCCACGTGGAGGCACGGCTGCCACTGAGGAGCCTCAAGCATGTAGCATGGTGCCCGGGAAGCTTCAGGTACCCCTCTCTTTCTTCCTTCATTCTGCAAATAATTTTGAGCACTGGTTCCATGCCAGGCATTGTTTTTGGCATGGGCATGCATTGGTGAACAACACAGGTTAAAGTCACTGCTCTAAGGCTGGGCACGGTGGCTTACGCCTGGAATCCCAGCACTTTGGGAGGCAGAGGCGGGTGGTTCATCTGAGGTCAGGAGTTCAAGACCAGCCTGACCAACATCGTGAAACCCCGTCTCTACTAAAAATACAAAAATTAGCCGGGCGTGGTGGCAGGTGCCTGTAATCCCAGCTACTTGGGAGGTTGAGGCAGGAGAATCACCAGAACCCAGGAGGAGGAGGTTGCAGTGAGCCAAGATTGCCATTGTACTCCAGCCTAGGCAACAGAGCAGAACTCCATCTCAAAATAAATAAATAAGTAAAGAAAGAAAGAAAAAAGGAAAGAGAAAGAAAGAAAGAAAGAAAGAAAGAAAGAAAGAAAGAAAGAAAGAAAGAAAGAAAGAAAGAAAGAAAGGAAATCACTGCTCTAAATAAGATAATTTTAGATTAAAAATATTATGAAAATAAATGAAGATAGTGTGACAGAAAGTGACTAGGGGAGGGCAACTTCAGCGTGAACAGTCAGAGTGGTCGCCTTTGGCCTGAGGCTGACATGATGAGAAGGATCAGGGCAAAAGCCCCAAGATGGGACTGAGCTTGTCACATGGTTGAGCAATGAAAAGAAGGCTGGAAGTGAGGCAAGACAGCTGGGCAGGGGCCACCAAAAGTCCACAGTTAGCATCATCATCATCATTAACTGTCCCCAACTGGGTCTCAATTTTGTGGATTTCTTTGTAAGTGGGCCAGAGAGGGTGCTGGGAGAGCAAATCTGGGAGAATGGCTCCCTCCCAGGAAATCCACTGGGGAAAATCAGTGAGATGTGTCTTCATTCGAGTTTTGGAGTCAGTCAACAGCGCTTTAGGGTCTTATGAGGTGCTTGTGGCAAAAATGATTGGCTTAATTATAATTGGATGCCGTCTTGCTGATATGCTGGGGGCACTAGATGTTTGAGCTTTTTTGGTTTTTGTTTTTTTGAGACAGAGTCTCGCTCTGTTGCCTAGGCTGGAGTGCAATGGTGCGATCTTGGTTCACCGCAACCTCAGCCTCTCAGGTTCAAGCAATTCTCCTGTGTCAGCCTCCCAAGTAATCGGACTTACAGGCGCCCGCCACCACGCCTGGCTAATTTTTTTGTATTTTTAGTTGAGACGGGGTTTCACCAATTTGGCTAGGCCGGTCTCAAATTCCTGACCTCAGGTGATTCACCTGCCTTGGCCTCCCAAAGTGCTGGAATTACAGGTGTGAGCCACCATGCCCTGCCACATTTTAGCTTTTTCCAGGTGGGAGTTTAACTTTGGCCCTTAACCCTTCTCATGGGAGAAAGGTCACAAACTGTGATTTATTATTTGAACTCTGCAGGCTTTCAAAAGCATTTTTTGTTATATATAAGAACAAGTCAAGGATTGTGACAAACTAGAAGGTATGGAGTAGAGGAGAGGAAACCTAGGGAAGACTGCTGCAGCTGAGTGCTAAACTGCACACTGAGCTCCCTGGTAGCCAATGCAAAGAGAGAAACCGGTGAACCATATTACTTTCTCAGCCTGTCTCTAGGGAGTTGACAGTAGTCCTGTAGACAGGGAGGTTCAGGCCAGTGCCTCAAGCTTGCTTGTCCTAATTCTTCTCCCTTTTCAGTCCCCTTTGTCTCCTCCTTTCTTCTTGTCAGTATTACAGGACTTATGAGCTACCCTTTGCTAGCAACATGTTTCCTTTGAGGGCAAGGATGAAGTCTGTTGCCTATAGTTGATTTCCTGGTGTCCTTAGGGTCTCACATAAGAGATACTTAGTATGTATTTTTTGAATGAGTGAATAAAAGAAGGTTGTTAGTGTTTCTATGAAGGCTTTGCTGTCCTGGTCAAAAATCCTTACCTCTCCCTGTTCTCGACCTCCCCTTTCCCTCTCCTTTCATGAATCTGCCTCTTGCTGGGGCGAGGAGGTCTAGGGGGCTGTGGGCACCTCCCCTCTCTCTGAATGGTAGGAGGAGCCATTTATTCTTGTCTCCCTGGAAACCAACCCCACCACTGTTCTGACCCGTCTGCTGGTGCCTTCCTTTCTCTCAGCATTTCCTCCACCTGGAGCAGAGGGGCTCCAGGACCAGCAGAGTAGCATTCTTCCACACTTTGGGCAGGACCCAAGGTGACCACTCTGGCTGTCCACTCTAAAGATGCCCTTCCCCAGTCATGTTCTGTCACACTACCTTCATTTATTTTCATAGCATTTTTAATCTAAAATTACCTTATTTAGAGCAGTGACTTTATTTATTTATTTATTTATTTTATTTATTGAGATGGAGTTACGCTCTGTCATCCAGGCTGGAGTGCAGTGGCGCAATCTCAGCTCACTGCAACCTCTGCCTCCCAGGTTCAGGTGATTCTCCTGCTTCAGCCTCCCAAGTAGCTGGGACTACAGGCAACTGCCTTGCCTCTCTGAGTCTCAATTTCCCCACTGGGCAAGGGCGAATATTTCCTCCCCATGCTGCTAAGAGGAACCAATCACAACTTTATTAATATCATTTTAAAGCATTTTATCAGAGGTCTTCAGAGTTTTACTTTTTAAAGCAATTCTTCAATTAAGACATTTTTATTATAAAAAATTTAAACATAAGTTAAGATATTAGCATAATAAACCTCTACACATCCATCATCAGATTCAATATGTTTATTTTTATTATTTTACTTTATTTATTTATTTATTTAGAGACAGGGTCTCACTCTGTTGGGCAGGCTGGAGTGCAGTGACACGATCACGGCTCACTGCAGCCTTGACATCCCTGGGCTCAGGTAATTTTCCCACCTCAGCCTCCCAAGTAGCTGGGACTATAATTGATTTCCTGGTGCCCTTAGGGTCTCACATAAGAGTTACTTAGTGGCCGGGCCCGGTAGCTCATGCCTGTAATCCCAGCACTTTGGGAGGCTGAGACGGGCGGATCACGAGGTCAAGAGATCGTGCCTTTTAATATATTACAGACTTTTAAAAACACATTGCTTTTTTTTTTTGAGACGGAGTTCGCTCTGTCACCAGGCTGGAGTGCAGCGGTGCGATCTTGGCTCCCTGCAAGCTCCGCCTCCGGGTTCACATCATTCTCCTGCCCTCAGCCTCTCCGGGAGGCTGGGACCACAGGTGGCCGCCACCACGCCCGGGCTGATTTTTTGTATTTTTTAGTAGAGACGGGGTTTCACAGTGTTTAGCCAGGATGGTCTCGATCTCCTGACCTCGTGATCCGCCCATCTCAGCTCCCCAAAGTGCAGGGATTACAGGCGTGAGCCACCGTGCCTGGCCGCCTTTTTTTTTTTTTAAGACAGAGTCTCCCTCTCTAGCCCAAGCTGGAGTGCAGTTGCCGCCAATCTACACCTCCTGAGTTCAAGTGATTCTTTTCTGCTTCAACCTCCCAAGTAGCTGGGACTACAGGCGTGCGCCACCACACTCGGCTAATTGTTTTGTGTTTCAGTAGGATGGGGTTTTGCCATGTGGGCCAGGCTGGTCTCGAACTCCTGACCTCAAGTGGTCCCACCCGCCTCAACCTCCCAAAGTGCTGGGATGGATTACAGGTGTGAGCCACCGTGCCCGGTCCAAAAACACATTGCCTTTTTATATATCTAAAAATATTTTCCCAGGCCTATCACTTGTCTTTAACTTTCATAGGATGCATTCAGGAATACAGATATCTCTGAGGGTAGGGGGATTGCTTGAGCCCAGGAATTCAAGACCAGCCTGGGCAACACGGCAAGATCCTGTCTCTATAAAAAATTTTAAAATAAGCCAGGAGCGGTGGTGCAGGCCTGTAGTCCACACATGTGTTGTGTATATATGTACACAGAAATAGTTTTATTTACTTAATTATTTAACATAAAACAGTACCATCATGTCTATAGTCTACAAGTTGCTTTTTTTTGATTAACTGTATTGTCTTAGAGCATTTCTTATGCAAAATATGAAAGTCTAGCTTTTGGGAGGTTGAAGGCAGGAGGATCGCTTGAGCCCAGGAGTTCAAGTTGCAGTGAGCTAGCTCACACCACTGCACTCCAGCCCGGTGTGACACAGCAAGATCCCGTGTCAAAAAACAAACAAACAAACAAAGAAACAAAAAACCAAAAAACCCAAAAACCAAAAACCTTTATGGAAACAAATATTGTCAGCCTTTTCTTTATGGTTTCTGCCTTTGTGATCTTGCTTAAGAAGGTCTTCCCGACCAAAAGGTTAGCTATAAACCAACTTTTTTTTTTTTTTTTTTTTTTGAGACGGAGTCTTGCTCTGTCACCCAGGCTGGAGTGCAGTGGCCGGATCTCGCTCACTGCAAGCTTCCTCCTCTCGGGTTCACGCCATTCTCCTGCCTCAGCTCCCGAGTAGCTGGGACTACAGGCGCCCGCCACCTCGCCCGGCTTAGTTTTTGTATTTTTTTAGTAAAGACGGGGTTTCACTGTGTTAGCCAGATGGTCTCGATCTCCTGACCTCATGATCCGCCCGGTCTCGCCTCCCAAAGTGCTTGATT